AGGAGTGGAGAAAGGGTTCTGATGGTGATGGAAAAGTTGCATTGTTTAGGGGTAGGGTTAATGATTATTGTAACTGCTGTCAATAAGTTGTACACCTGTAAAAAGTAGAATTGGCAAAAGCTGTGACAGACTTATTTGCAACAATGAGGCGGGGGGGCGAAGAGTAATATTGAGGCTGATTGTGTACAAACACCTCATGGGATTTGGTTCCTTGGTTTAGAGGTTTAGGGACCTGGTTTTATGAGACATTCAAATTAATTAGCCTAATAACATGTTTAGTGCTTCTATTCTACTTCCTAGTGGGTTGCATAGTGCCTACGGTCTTAAAAGCTTGCAAGTGGCCATCCAAGGCACAACAATTGGTCTTTATTCACCTGGAGCAACAGAAGAAAGAGAATTAGGAATGAATAGGAGCATATGGAATATGTGGCTAACTGCCTCCATGAACAACTGCCTCTTTTGTCCTGATACCAGATCCGAATGGTGTCCAGCTACCGTTACTGCACATTTTGATTCAAGATTCCATAGCAGAATCTTGATCGAAAGGGGGGAAATGCAGAACAGAATTTCAAATTCTCATGGACTCCAGATTTTCTGAAGACATGGAAGTTGAGTAAACTCCTAAAACTGCTGCCCTGAGATCATCATTCAACCTTAAACTAAAATTACCCCTGAAGTCTTAAAACCAAACAACAATTTAGTTAACTAGAAAAAAAAAGGTCTGCCTTGAACATTGTGCTCTTTTAAGAGCTATTTATGTAGGATCAAGTCGACAAATTGAAAGGTAAGAACCTTAGAGGCCATGAGTTTATGTTAATGGGGAGGAACAAAGAGAAAAGGCAGGTGAGAATGGTTATGCAACTTCAAGAATGTCATCAATGTCCCTGAGCTGTATGCGCAGGTGCTACTGAAGTGGTGTGTGTTTCACTGTGCATACTCTCAGCAACAACAAAATAAAATTTAGAAGGAAAGAAAAGAACAAGGAAAGAGTGCGTCACGCGGAGTCACTGTCACTAGTGAGCATGTTCCCTTATGGATCTACTGTCAATTAAACACCACCAAACAAACGGATTTGCTTCACTAATTCTAAAAAAGGAAATAAATCCATTTCTGCATATCAGAAGGCCAACAAATTCTATAGTTTTTTAGCATGAGAACTGCCAATCACCTGCATTCAATGAAAACCGTTACCAAACAACAGGCTATGATTTGAAGTTTAAGGATAAACTGCTATTATACAGATAAGACCAGAGAGGTCACCCATCAATATGTGAACAGTGGTGGGATTTCATCAGAAGATAAAAGTAAAATCACCTGAAGTGAAATGCCATTTAAATCAATGCCAACAAGAGAATCAGTGGCCCCACTGCCCAGTTCTCCACCAAGGAACCGATGAATGGACCTCAGGGCCAGCCCTCACCAGGCCCATCACCTGCCGACTGAGAGAGGCACAGCCCAAATGAAGACTGTCAACTTCATTAATTAAGGAAGTGATTTCATTTACATAAAGAGGAGGGGCACCGAGAGCACAATCCATGAAAGAAACGTGAATACGCTGGACTTCACTGAAACGAGAAACTTTCCACCGTGTGAAGAGCACAGGCAAGGCCGGGAGAGCAGCACTCACACGACTGGCAGAAAAGACCGGCAAAGCACATGTCTCGTGAAAGAGCTGGATCCAGAACAGAGAAAGAACTCTCAGCACTCAACTTTTTAATTCTTAAGTCAAAAAAGTTTTGTTTTTTTAATGGGCAAAAGATCTATACAGACAAATCAGTGGTCCACAGGTAGCAAATAAGCACGTGGAAAGATGCTTGGTATCTCTGACCACTAGGGACCTGCAAAGTAAAACAGGCACACTGCACGGGTATCAGAAAGGCCAAAGTCCAAGCCACTGACATGGCCAACTGGGGCAGCCACGTTGGGAGGCAGCTTGAGCAATTGATTACAAAGCTAAACGCAGTCTTACTATACAAGCTAGCATCATACTCCCAGGTATTAACCCAACTGATTTAAAGCATACGTCCCCCAAAAACCTGCATTCTTTATCCCTAATCGCCAAAACCTGGAAGCAACCAGGATGTCCTTCCATAAACAGTTTCTCTGGCACATCCACACCGTGGAATCTTATTCAGGGATAAAAAGAACTGTTGGCTCAAGTCATGAGAAGACTCGGAGGAACCTTACATGCACGGTGCTAAGTGAGAACAGGCAGCCTAAGACGGCTGCCTGCTGATACAAGTCCAGTTCATGACAGTCAGGAAAGAGCCCGGTAACAGTGGGGGGACGCAGAGCACTGGGTGCAGGGCTTGGGGGCGGTGCTGTGAAGCCCAGCAGATTTTCTCAGGAGGTGAAACTGTTGTACATGATACTGTAACGATGGACACATGACGTCACGCATTTGTCAGAACCAGTATGCAACGTACAACACGAAGAGTGAAGTTCAATGCATGCAGGTTGTTCTACAGATCCCAGAGGCCAGGGGATGCCGGGATAGAACACGGACGGTGACAGTGACCCTAACTGTAGTGCAGACGACGCGTCAGCCTCGCTGCAGAGCGTGCGGGGCAGTGCCGACCTGAGGCCGAAGGACGGCCCCTAAGCCGCCACACGGGTGATGGAGCCGTCTCCCACAGGGGTGCGGTCAGCTGCTCCACGAGCGCCACCCAGGTACGCCGGGATGAACGCCCAAGTAACCGGATGGCAGGGGTGGGCGTTTACAGACCGGCGCGGAGGGGGCCAGAGTGATCCACGTCCCAGGGGATGAGCTCACGTCTTAAGGAATACAGGTGCAGAGATCTAACCGATGCACGTCTACACAGTTAACAAACACTCTGCTATTGTCCTGCCCTGTCAGCCGAGAGGGCCTGAAAGTGATGACACCTCAGTAGCATGAGCACACCTGGGACCTGGATCACGGTTCTGATAATCATTCTCCAGTAAAGGGACCAGGGCTCCTCGAAGAAGTGGCTGATTCTGGGACTGAGGGAGGAAATACACAAAGTGAATCTGGGCTATGTGTGGAGCCAGAAAGGAAGGACTGCAAGACAGAACGGCCAACAATGATGGGGGCTGTCAGAAGGACACAGGAGTCAACCAAAAGAGCTCCCGATGGCCAGAGCTGGAACCATTTGAGGAAGAAATACAGAATACCAGGTTACAAGCCCAAGGATAAAATACCCACGAGTCCACGATGACGTCAACAAAACACTGGATCAACATGGGAGGTAGACCAATCTCCCCTGCAGAAGAATGCCAGGGAATTCAGGCCCTCAAGGACGCCTTGACTCTTCGCGCACCATTGTTCTGAACATCAATCAGAAAACTTAGTGAAGGTGGGACTTTAATTTCTGCTCTCCCTTAGAGGACCGTGTGGAAAGGGGGGAAGGCAACCTCACAGTGGAGCGACCTGACAAGCACACCCTCAGCCAGGGGCGGAAAGTCATGTCGACAGCACGGTCTCTGATGGGATGTGATGAGGATGCACTGTGCCTCTGCGATCCTCCTCTCCAAATCCCATCACCCTCGTCTAAGAAGCAAAACTAAGGAGAGCGGAAGAAACCACAGACTTTAGTTACATAATCAATGTATCATACTGGGCTGTTAATTGTGACAAATATACCGTCCTCAGGGGAGATGCTCAGGGGAAACTATGTGTGGGTTACATGGGAACACTCTGCTCTATCTTCACGATTCTTCCTAAAAACTGTTCAAAAATAAAACATTTACTGTTTAAAAATAAATAAAATTTGAAAAGGAGGGCAACTAGTTATATGTATTTTTATGTATATTATATGCATTTTTATAGACTTGGCTGAAGATAATCTGACATATGCACTTGGGCTACAAAATTAGCCCCACACATTACAGAAGCAACCAAAGACAGAGTTGGAGTAACCTCTCGGAGACACTCAAACACCTTGAGGGAATCACCAGGCCTGCCGACTCAGGATCGTAGTCTCAGAGGACATCATGCATCAATTGGCACAACATAGTACATAAAAATCTTGTTCCACAACCTACTTTGGTGAGTAGTGAGTGGGGTCTTAATAGATTCCAAGTGGCCATCTAAGATGCAACTATTGGTCTCCTCTCATCTGAAGCAAAGAAGAGTGAAGAAAATCAAAGGCACCTGGAAACAATTAGTCCAAGGGTAAGATAGACCATGAGGACCTCAGCCTTCATGATGCTGAGACCAGAAGAACTAGATGGTGGCCGGCTACCAATGCCAAGCACTCGAAAAGGGATCAGAATTGGAGATCCTGGATAGAGTGGGAGGAAAATGTGGAACAAAATTGAAAAACACAAAAATGACTAGAATCACCGCTCAGATGGAGCCTGGTGGAACCCCAAGACTATGGCCCCGAGTTACCCTTGGGGCCTAGAAATGGACTCACTCCCAAGGATTAGCTCTCAGCCCAAAAGAGAAAGACCTACATGCAGAACACCTACCCCAGGGAGATACACCCACCTACTCTAGAGAGATGCACCCTTAGAGCAATCAGCCATGGGGCACCACGGGGGCAGCATTCACACGGAGGGAAAGCAGGACAGACAGGAGCACAGAGTTAAGAAGGGCACAGGCAGGGGGTAGTTCCAGGGACGGGAGGGGAGGAGAGTTTGTTATGGTCAGGGATGGTAATCAGGCCATGAAATCAAATGTGCACAAACTGTTGAATGTAAAACAAATTTGCTCTTTCAATTTGTACACAAAGCACAATAAAATTTAAAAAATAAAAATAAAGAAAATTTGAAAAGGAAGGCAACTAGTCAAGTTATACACATTTTTGCAGAAAATATGGCTGTGGAAACATAAACCAGCCTGGTACTTGATTTTACCGCACACGTGGTCCATGTAAGGCTTCCATCTCATATACCTGATGCTCTCAAGCTGTGCCTTCATAGCCAAGACCTGCTCCACTGTAACGACAGGTCTACCGCTATGTCGTCTACTGCTACGGAGGAACCCGAGTTGGTGTGGATGATCAGCAGAAACTTACAGTAGCCGTTCTCTGCTCATCAAACTTCGAAAGCTTCTGAAGTTCTCTGTAGACTGTTCCAAGAGGTGCGTATTCAAGAATCAGGTAAACCCTGGTGGCGTCATGGAAATAACCGTACAGCCTGAGGATATTAGGATGCCTGCAACAAAGGACACGTCCACCAACGTCTGGTTACAGAGCCGACACGGCAATACGTGCTAATAGCAAACAGACCCCTCAGGTGGACCCAGGGGGATTTCTACCTGGGTTTGCCATGCCCTTGCCCCCACTCCACCTAAGCTTCTGAAGCAAGAGACCCATTCCACAGAAACAGACACAGCAACATGTCATTTTCCATGCAGTTTCAAGGTATTCATAGGTTAAGATTATTACTTCCTTCCTTTGGGCATCTTTATCCTTAGGGGGAAAATTCCGTTAAATGTTAATTGCCCGCAAATGTGAAGCAGAACTTGGCCTCTCCGCCGGGGTGTGGTCCCCAACGCAGGCAGCACAACAGCAGCGCTCAGTGAGGCCGCGGCCTTGGGCTGGCGGGGAGGGCCCCGGCAGCTGGACGCGGGTCCTGTCAGACACTGGCCCCTCTCAACAGCCCGCATAGCGATGGGCTTGACAAAGGCAGATTTTGAAGTATCAGCAACTCCTTTAAAGTGTTAAATACCGTAAAAGTAAAATAAAGGGGGAAAAAAAGCAAAGCCAGAGGCCAGTATCAATCTGCAGGCTGCCCACCTGTACCCTGTGCTTAACTCAGAACAAAGTGCGATTCTCACGTTACCCACCAAAACATACACAATGCCACGTAAATGACCTAACAGAATATCGCATCTGCAGGCGACTGTTCAGGACCACCACAGAAACATCCAGGTAAATCTTTGAAGAATCACAAACTACTCTTTCTGGTCCTGAGACACGGTGCTATATAAAGAGCTTTCATCTTTCGCTTTCCCCGAACATTATGTTCCACACACCACTCTTCTGAGCATCCTTCTGAACACTTACCTGAGGTGGGACTGTATCTCGACTTCTCTTCTCACCTGATGTTCGACGCCGGCTTTCTCCAGCTGAGCTTTAAATAACACTTTAAGAGCCAGGATAAACTTGCTTTGTTTTTCTCTTGCCAGATAAACATTACCAAATTTTCCTTTACCCAACGGGCGGCCAATTTCAAAATCTTCTAAAGTCCATTGCCTTCTAGGAAAGAATTGAACATTTTTAAATGTAGAGAGAACAAATCTTTTCCAACAATTTGTCAACAACTGGTTAGATGCATTCTGTAAATAAGTTTATACTTAGGATGGCACTGGCCCTGCACCACGACTGACTCTCCACACATGCAACACCCCACCCCCAGCCGTCATCAGCCGCAGCATCCGTGACACGGAACAATCTGGGACCTTCAGAGCCGGCACACTGAACGGGAAGTGCCCTCGTATGCTCAGGATCAAAGACCTATGAACACAGAGAACCCTAAGGAACAGCTGGAGTGGCTGGGGGGGAAGGACGGTCCACAGCCATCTGTGAACTCTTCTGAATGACCTACTTCCTCCCCCTCCTCCCTCAGAGATGCTACTGCTCTACTGGGCTGAGAGCCCTCCTGCTGGTGGACGCTGAGCCACTGTTACTGCCGGGAGCAGTCTGGATCCCACAGGGCAGTTGAGGCCGAGACCCACTGGATTTAGAAGCAAAATAGTCTCAGTGCGAGTTCATTCCTAGCGCCTCCTACAACATTCTAGAGTCTAGACAGTGCAGGGACCGAGAGCAAGCTTCCAGACGATTTCTGAGAAGGATGTGGCCGCAGCCTTAAAATGAAGGATAAATGCGGGCACAACTCGTTTCATAGCACTTCGTTTTAGAGCCTCACAGATACTGCGGGTTTGGTGTTTTCTTTAAATTGAAGGCTTGCATTTTTCCAGCAGCATGTGCTCACTGGGTGACTCTGTCACATTCTGGTCATTCTCGCAATATTTCAGACTTCTTCATCACGCCACTGCACACTTAAGAGACCACAGTGTAGTGTCAATGCAACTTTTATATGCACTGGGAAACCAAAACCTTCACAGGGCTCGCCTCATTGCCATATTCACTTTACTGCAGTGGTCTGAAGCGAACCCAAGGTCTGCCCGTACGGTACTTCACTAACACCGTCAAAATACCGAGACAGTCACACACAGTGTGCTCACAGTTCGGCAGCATGACCCCATTCCTGCTTTTTAAAAACCTGCACCTTCATGTGAGAACAGAGAGAAATCTAGCAGCACAAACCACACAGAGGTCACTCCTGAGGCAGAAAGCAGCTTTCATGTCACACATTTCTGTGCGTAACAGATTCACATAAGCTTTCCTACACTCGAAAAAGCTAACTCTGAGTCCTGAGAAAATACCCATCACACACACACACACACACAAATCCCTTTTTTCTTTCTTACAAAGACTGGAAACCTGGAAGTATTCTGATAACCAGTTTTCTGAATGAAAATATAAAGACCTATTTTTTTAAGAGTTCCCATAACTAAACTTACAATTAAATGGTATATTCTAGAATGATAGTGGAGGATTTTGCAAATAAGATAAAGCTTCCTTACTTTTTTGATTCTTCTTTATTCTGTTTTGATGCCAGTTCCTTTCCAGGATTATTTCCTATATAACATCAGTTACAGGGAAGAAAAAGAAACCTTTCAATATTTTAAATATGAATGACAATCAAAAAATGATCACTAAAACGTTAATATTATTTGTCAACACTCGGTTACGTGGGCTAATTTTTCTTTACACGTTGAGGGAGACGACCACTCCACCCCAGCCTGACTCCCAGCACGTGATGTCTACAGAGCTTCTAGAGTGAAGCTGGGCAGGTCTGTACGTAGTTTAAAAAAAAAAAACAAAACTAACTGCCATTAGTTGATTCCAACTCATAGCAACCCCCTTTGGGTTTCCAAGACAGTAAATCTTTATGGAAGTAGATTGCCCAGTCTTCCTTCCGCAAAGTGGCTGGTGGGTTTGATCCGCCTCCTGGTCAGTAGTCAAATGCCTTAGGCACTATGCCATCAGAGCTCTACCACCAATGGTTTAAAGACTCAAGGCTACACAGGTTCTCCCTATATATAGCTTCAATCTGTTTCCAGATGAATTGCACTTCTCCAACAGAACTACCAGTCCTCCCATCTGTGACAAACTTTCCCACACTGAGTCAGTCACCTGTTCCCACCTCCCCTCTAATTATGCCATATGAAAATGACTGATAATCTATGTAACAATATAAGCCAGGCCCTCCTTCCACTCAACTGGTTGGATAGGGAAACAGAAGCCACAGATCCAGCACCTGTAAGAAAGTAGGTCGCAGCACGGTCTGATGGTAACTGTCATCAGCCACGCGTGCAGACATGTACACAGGACATGTCCACTTGTTTCCGATACTTCAAACTCTAGCAGCAGCATAGCGTGCACGCTGATACCTGGATGCAGGTCCACTTGTTTCCGATACTTCAAACTCTAGCAATAGCACAGCGTGCACGCTGATACCTGAACACAGGTCCAGGCTGTTTCTTTTCCTCCACGGTTCACTGTCAGTGTCCCCCCCACCGGCTTCTCCTGTCTCAGCCAGTGCCCAGCTGTACTGAGCCAGCTCCTAGCTGAGCTGTCCATCCCTGCCGGCTCTGGTGAGTTGGGCTCTTCTGAGTCTCAGCTTTGGCCCTGTGAAGCTGAGCCAGTACTGCTGGCCACCCTTAGACACAGCGACGGAAGGACAGACTGGTCAGAGTGAGCTGCGTGCAAGCACTCCAACCCACCACCGTCCAGTCGATTCCGACACAGAGCAACCCTACAGGATAGAGGAGACCTGCCCCATGGGCTCTCCCAGGCCGTAATCTTCATGGAAGCAGACTGCCTCATCTGCTTCTGCTGAGCAGCTGGGGGGGTCAAGCTACCAACCTTTTGGTTACCAGTCAAACGCTTTAACCACTGCACTACCACAGCTCCATGTAAGCACCCTACACACCTGTAAATAGGAACCATTACCATCCGACCTGCACCACCCACCTGAGGCCATTGTCATCTCTGGCCTGGACCACCACGAAGCCCCCTATCTGCTATTCCTGGATCCAGCAGTGTGACTCGCCAATCCATTCAACAAATCCAGAGAGGGCATTCTAGAATACCCATCCTCTGCCCAAAATCCCTTCAGCAGTTCCCATTCCTTAACACAGCCAACGGTGCCCACTGTGACCCCACCTGGTCTGCCTCAGGCCATGCATGTGCCCCCAAGCTCCCCCACCTTAGACCTCTTCAGTAAGTACCTGCTACAGTAAACCAAACTCAACCCACTGCCGTCAAGTCGATTCCGGCTCAGTGACCCTACAGCACAAGGTAGAACTACCCATAGGGTTTCCTAGGCTGTAATCTTTACAGTAGCAGGCTGCTTTATTTTTCTCCTGTGGAGTGGCTGGTGGGTTTGAACCACCAACCTTTCAGTTACGAGCTGAACACTTAACCACTGTGCCACAATGGTACCCTACAACCTCATCCACTATTAAGCAATCTGAGAGCCGTGGGATGGTGCTGGGTCCTCCCTGACTCCCAGCTATTCCCTGAGGGTGGTGATCAGACCCATGTTTCTTTTTTCTTTAACTTTTCATTGTGATCTTGGTGAAAGTTTATAGAGCAAATTGGTTTTCCACTCAACAATTCACACCATCCTGTTTTGTGACATTGATCATAGTACCCACAATGCAACAGCACTCTCCCCACTTCCCCATGTGTTTGCCATCTCCAGTCATCCCTCTTTCCCATCGCTCCCTGCCTCCTGAGGTTTATCCTGGGAAAACACTGCCCTTCTGACCTTGTAGGGGTGATTTTTCTAAGGAGTGTGTACCTCCCACACCCTGGTGTTACTGTTCACCTGGTGAGACTGTCTATCTTCTGGCTGAAAGTTGAGCCCCAGGGGTAAGTTTGGTTCCAGGCCTGAAGCAGGTCTGTATTTTTAGCCCAGGCCTGGTCCATAGCAGACACCACCAGTTCAACCTGAAAATCACGCCGTCTCCCTTTGCTCAGTAGATAGGGTACAAGAGAGAGGGCTTCAGACAGTTAACACAAGCTTCCACTCTTGCTTGTTTACAACTAGAAAGAACTTTCAGGGGGGCTTAAAGGCTGGTTTACCAGATGCTGACGGCTGGGCCTGCTCGCTCTTTGGAGTGGTGTTTGGTGGCCTGGAGACAGGACGAGGTACGGCGGTTATCTGCAACGGCTTCCGCTTCTGACTCTGACTCTGAACTTGAACTGGCTTACGGCTGGAGGCGAGCTTTTGTGCTTGTGAAGGGATGTTCTGGGAGGAATTTGAAGGACACAAGACCCGCTGAGCCTGGCCACCACCGGCAGAGAACAGGTTCTGAGAAGGAAACTGCTGAGTCACTGGAACGCGCTTCGGACCATCACTGAGCGGAAGCATGGCCTAGGTTGGGAGGGAAGACAGAAGCACGTTAAAGGCCTTTGTGAACGGAAGGTGAACACTGTGAGGCCTCTACCAGCTTCTTGTGTAACAAAAGGAGCATCCCTGAAGGAGACATACTTCCAGAGGAGGCAGTACGGCTGCAAGGATACTTCAGTGACACAAGGAAGAGGCATTAAACACTTTCTAAACATTCTTGGTAACTCAGAAAACTTGTCTGTTGTTTGGCAAAAAGCCACAATTCACAAACTTTCTACTACTATCTCAATTCTACTGTTGGGATTTCTTTGGCTACCTATGTTTAAAGAGCTCTGGTGGCGTAGTACCTAAGGCATCTGACTGCTAACCAGAAGGCTGGTGGTTCAAACCCACCAGCCACTCCTTGGAAGGAAGACTGGGCAATCTACTTCCGTAGTTTTACCGCCTCAGCAACCCATGGAGGGGTCGCTATGCATTGGATCCAACTCAAAAGCACTGAGTTTTACTATGTTTAAGAGGAAAACCAGAAATGCATCAGAATGCTCCACGGTGGCTGTCTTTGAGTGCAGAAGTTTTGGAAGACTGTCTACAATTTTTATTTCCCAGATTGAACATAATAAGCTCATTACTATTAAGTATTTCCTAACGCTTCATTGTCTTAAGCACTCATAAGGTGGCAGTGAGCAAAAAGAACTTTGACAAAGAAACAATGTAGGCTCTTTAAAAATTATTAGTAAAATGTATCATTTATACACCTATTAGTGCCATACAAGCTTAAAACAGAGTTATATTAACTAAAATCTTGAGTTAATCAGACTAAAATAAAACAGGTGACATATCTTCCAGCTTCAGCTTCTCATAGTAATGATGAACCAGTAACAGAACGTGAAGCCTCAGAGTCCATCTGGTCACCAGAGTTAGTGCCTTCACCCTTTTGTGACCCAGAGGACATACAGTGCCCACTTCCTTACATTTTCCACCTCTGAGGTTGAGTGGAAAACTGCTATCCCACCTTAAATATGTGCTGCCACCTAGTGGGTGCCTGTATAATTCCATGAATCGGAAGAGATGAGCCTCATCCCACAAAGCCCTTTCAGCACATTGCCCAGCCTTCCCTCCGAGGAAGACGGGCCATCTACTTCCTCAGCGATACCGTCTCAGAAACCCGAGGAGGGGGTCGCTGTGAGTTGGATCCGACTCGACGGCAGTCATGTGTTCCATTAATTTCACCAAAATCCCTATTATTTCCCCAAAAAAATGTTTTCATTTCATTCAAAATGGTTTCCACTACTGAAAACACATGGTCCAAACAAAAGAATTCAAAGCAGAAAATAATTCAGTCTTCAAAGAGTTAAAAGAGAGTGTTTAAAAGTATAGTCAATTGCTTCTGAAATTTGCAGTATCCACAACACAGGAGGCCTTTAGGCAGTGTTGCATGAAAAGGAACATTTTAAACACAGTAATTTTTTAAAAAAGTGTTAAAAATAAAATACAGTGACTCAATTTAGCCGCTTTCTTATTGGTCATTTTATACCTTCAGCCAATAAGAAAGGTAAACATCCATTTATTTGAAGATGCTGACACCCAAAAACTAGCTAATATTTTTATCTTTAGGAGCTCTGGTAGCATAGGGCCTAAGGCACTTGGCTGCTAACCAGAAGGCTGGCGGTTCAAACCCACCAGCCACTCCTCAGAAGGAAGATGGGGCAATCTACTTCCGCAGTGATACTGCCTCGGAAACCCAAGGAGGGGTCGCTATGAGTCGGGGCCAACTTGATGGCACATAACAACAACAAAAACATTTTTATCTTTATGGTGAATTCTAAGAAGAAAAGAAAATCTGAGGATTATCTCTACTTTAGATTGACAGGCAGCCTGGGAAACCCTGTTACAGTTCCACTCTGTCTTCCAGGGGCGCTATGAGTCTGAACAGACTCCAGCACAGTAGGTTTGGTTTGGACTTTGCTTCTGTAGATTGTCAGCCTTGGAAACCCTATGGGGCAGTTCTACTCTGTCCTCTAGAGTGACTATGCATTGGAATCGACTCAACGGCAGTAGGTTTCATTAGAATACTACATACATACATTAGGAGCTCTGGTGGCACTGTGGTTAAAGCATTCAGCTGTTAACCAAAAGGTCAGTAGTTCAAACCCACCAGCGACTTCTCAGGACAAAAAGATGAGGCAGTCTGCTTCCATAAAGATTACAGCCTTGGAAATCCTATGGAGTAGCTCTGCTCTGTCCTTTCGGGTGACTATGAATTGGAATCAACACAATGGCAGCGGGTTTGTTTTTACAAGAAAATCATGTACATAAGTATGATCCTGCACGCAATGGGGGATACTGCTGACTCTAATACAAAGCAGGACAAAATAAAGAGTGGTGGCGTAGTGCCTGAGGCACTTGACTGCTAACCAGAAGGCTGGCAGTTCACACCGACCAGTCACTCCTCAGAAGGAAGACTGGGCTATCTACTTCCGTAGTGAGACTGCCTCAGAAACCCAAGGAGGGGTTGCTATAAGTTGGATCCGACTCAACAGCAGTGAGTTTAGTTTTTTTGGTTTTGGAGGGAACTGACATGTCAGGAATGCTGAGAAATGCAGCCACTCACATCTGGGTGTGTAGTACAGAACCTACAGTCACAACCCAAGATATAGGGAAGAATTTCACAAGGGGACCAATCTCTACGAGACAGGATTACAGTTATATGAGTCAATCACCTTAATGGGTCCTGAAACGCAGTTTTCTTTAGATTTATCCATGATGCCTGAAAGGAAAAAAAGAACCATCTTTACTTTACGGAAGTCCACCTGCTCCAAAGTGCTGCCATGCCAGCCTAAAGTCAGACCCCGTGGATAAGCCCCAGCGAGACCCACAACTGCACTGTTTGCTTCTTTGCCCAAATGCAGCTGAGCAGGAAGCGCTTTGTCATCTCACACAGACAGTGCAGATTGCAGCCTGTACACAAGACCACCTCTCCCCCTGAACGCTGCGTCCCACCCCTGCACACACACCCTCTCCCCACGTACACCGCGTCCCACCCCTGCACACACACCGTCTCCCCACGTACACCGCGTCCCACCCTGCACACACACC